TACATTAAATTAAAATGTTCAAAAAAGTGGCAACATCCACAAAAATATCGCAGGCTGTAAGCCTTCTTAAACGTTTTCCTTTTGATAGATGATAAATATTTATTCATCATTCGAAAGTGCCGGAATGAAGAATAAAAACTTATTCCTCATTCATAATTAGAAAAATTATGAATATATTTTTATTTTTTATTTGAATAATAATTCATTCATTCGAAATCTCGAAGTAGCCCACTGTAGTATATTCGAATGCTAAAATATTAAGTTAGGTTATAAGGTGTAGATCCTATGGTTTAGTATCGAACTGCAATTACTGTTTTGTTTGTTATACTCTTATACTCGCTCAGCAGCGCAAACGAGCAAACTGAATTTTCTCACTAGCTAAGCACAGTTATAAGCATAACTAATGTAATCAGGTTAAGCATTTGTATACATGAAATAAAATAAAGAGCCAGTTGGATTTTGAAGCTCCAAGCGTCAGGTATTTGGTTTCCACGCCAGGGNAGACACGCGGCAAGCACATGGTTAACGCGAAAATTTATTAATATCATTGGAATAACTTTTAATTCATATGGGACCTACAAATACATCCTGCGCCGAGGAAAAGCCCGATATTAAAAATATGAATAAATTTTCAATAAATATGGAATCTTTTGATCCAAACGTGGAACAATGGCAAACATACATGGAACGCATGGAGCAACTTTTCATTGCAGCCAACGTAACAACTGAAATCCAAAAGAAGTCATTGCTAATTAAATACATTGGGCCTATTACGTACAGATTGTTACGAGACTTGTGTCAGCCAACTCAAACAGTCAAACACTTGACCGATCATTTTACGCCCGCTTTGGTGGTGTTTAAGGAGAGGCGCACCTTTTATGCAGCACATAAAGGTCAAGGTGAGACAGCCGTGGAATGGCACGCAAAAATTCGTAGGCTAGCAGTTAATTGTGAATTCACATCCATGCTCGAAAGTAAATTAATCGACAAATTTGTCACCGAAATGGAAGGAAAGGTTTTCGACCGCTTATGCGAGGAGGGTAGAGGTTTGACGTTATCGAAAGCCCTTGAAATTGCGCAAAGATACGAGAAGCCAGAAAAGATCGTCCATGCAATCCAGTCCAAACATCACAAGCAATCTAACGGGCGGCCAAATCGGAAGGTGAAGAAGCCAGATGAAGGGAAATCAGCAGAGAAATGTTATCATTGCGGTAAGCAGAACCACGATTTTAAATCATGCAATTATAAGACGTATGTATGCAACAAATGCGGAAAGAAAGGGCATTTAGCTATAGTTTGTCGCAAGCAAAATGGCGATGCTAACGGTGTAGTTAAAACGGTTTTCTCTTCAGAGCGTGAAAAATTCCCAAAGACTGGAAACGCTATTGAATTGTATAATATCAATTGTAATAAATATGTCTCTCCATATACAGTTTGTGCAAAAGTTAATGATGTCGCTTTTAATTTAGAACTTGACTCGGGCGCAGCAGTTTCCATATTTCCGCTAGAAGAATATAAGAAACATTTTTCACTAAGCCAATTACAAAGGTCTGAAACAATGTTATCGGGGTATGGAGGAAATAAATTAAAAGTTAAGGGTTCATTCTGTGCTGCAGTAAAATATAATGAGAAGGTAAAAAATGTTGAGTTCATTGTGGTCGATGCAAAAGGGCCATTAATTTTAGGACGGAATTTTTTTTCTACTTTTGATATTGTTTGGAAGGAAGTGCAGAGTATTCAAGTTCAGAACTCCAACCAGCTTAAGGGATTACTCCTTAAATATAATTCAGTTTTCGATGACGAATTAGGGAGATACAAGTACAATAAAGTACAACTGCGTTTAGAAGGCGATCCAACTCCAATATTTGTCAANTGCGTTTAGAAGGCGATCCAACTCCAATATTTGTCAAGCCACGCCCTATTCCAATTGCGTTTAGGTCAGCAGTTGAGGATGAGTTAACAAA